GTTTCCTGATCTGTCTTGTGACGTTGCAGAGGCAGAGTTGCAACACGTATGGTTTGAGAACACATATCCAGCCCAGCCTGCAAACACAGAGATTATATTTTATGGACCTAATCATGCTTTATTCTGACCACCGGACACTGATGAGAGTGACGGATCCTGTACTGTTCTCAACTTGGGCTTGCTTTTCTCTCCTCCTTTGTTTTAGGGCCACGTATTTTTGTCTCTCTTACAATCCCAATTTCCCTTTTGTCCTTTAAAGGACTTGAGATAAATATTTGTAGGTATATCCTACGCATTCAGACTAACCAAATGATATCCATCACCGACTTGCATACTTGGCTCTCTTTATCTTCCTTTATTTTTAATGAGTAATGAAAATAATGAATTGAAAATTACATTATTTACATACGGAAATGCAAATCATTGTTATTAATTTTATGACAGTTGGCAGAGCACCCAATAATTTCTGCCACCCTACATTATAGGCAGACAAGTGGATCGAGTTGAGAGACCCAAATGACATATGAGAATCCGATCATTAGCCACAACGTACGTCATCCATCCATCCTGTTACTTAAATGTCAAAAGTCTAGATCCCCCCTCCCTCCACGATTCACAGTCCACTCATATGCATGTATATCTTTAAAATATGGTCCCTGGGAAAACAACAAAACAACAACTTAAATTAATAATGTCATCACATTGGTTACAGTATATATGCATTCGTGGATATATCAACTATCTCTTTTTCTTTCTTTCATTCGCTCATTCTTGGATATATGCAGCCTGCACGGCTTTTTTGGGGAAATGACTCTGCATGTTTGCCACTATAATCACCTACCAACAAGACCTTCTGCCCTCTTTATCATTCATACACTGCCCTCTCTCTTTTCTCTTCTCCTATTTATCAGCTCCAATAATATTGCTTCTCAATCCAATGTATATATCTGTATATGGAACTTTATAATTTATAGGTAATTAAACCGTTGATGTGAGTCTAGAATAGTATAACTCACTTTATACTTAGGGCAACTCAGAGACGATTAGATCAATTATATATGGATGCTAGTTCTGTGGGTGGGGATGTCTCTGGGCTGCCCCTCAGATTTCATCTTCAAATGTTATCCAACAGAATCTTACAAATATGTGAAGAAGTCAACATGCATTTGAAAGCAAAACGACAGGAGCGATACTGAAGCCCTTGTTGTTACGCCCACTAAGTGTTGTTGAAAGGCGTGCTGTACGTAGACAGCCCTGCTTTATGAGAAAAGGGAAAAGTAATTTTCAGATTAGTTACCCAGTCCTTGTCTTCCAGCAAAGTCCTTCCACATCATCATGCACCCGCTTTTTAATTTTGGAGTTCGTCAAACTTCCAGCCCCTTTTCATATATTATTTTCCCCCACAATTATTTAAAACCAATAGCCCCTAATATTTGACTTAATAAACTCCCCGAATATCGCGTTTCTTGGGTGCAATCATATATATAGGAATCATGGACCCCCTTTCGGTGTGTGTGATGACGTTTTATCACGTAGCCATCCTCCACGGACATGTTTTATATATATATATATATATATATATATCCCGTAAAAGCACCATATATAAGAGTTGTCATGGATCATACGAATAGGGGGGAGGTGTGTGTGTAGCAATATATAGGATTAGAACATGAGTTTTGGTTTAACAACCCATGTTACGTCCCTTACGTATAAGTTATAACGGTTTCCGTGTTTCAATTTGTCTAGCGATCTATATATGTTTGTCATAACTTGTCAGGTTATTTTCAATATTATTCTCATTCACTACAGTAGACATTATGCATATTTCTTCTCTGATCTTTCTCATTATTGTCGTTAAACATGTGCGTATATAGAACACAAATACTTAATACTACCTCCGGTCCTAATTATAAGACCCAGTTGACTTATTTGAGAAGATTAAGGAAATAAGTTAAGTTAGTTATTTGTAATAAATAAGTGTTATCATTCCTAAAATATCCTTACTAATTAAGTATATTGGCTAGAACTATCATTATTAGAAGAACTATCTTGAAAAAAAATGCATAAATATGATAGACAGAATGGATTGGGGTCTTATAATTAGGACCAAACAAAAAATTAAACAGGGTCTTATATTAAGGACCGGAAGTAGTACGTGTTAAAACTATGAAACGTAGGTGATGATGGGCAAACGTACGTGCTAGAAGCTGTGATGTATATAGTGGGAGTGAAGGAAGTACTTGAAATAGGCATAGGGGGTTGAAATGTGAGAGGGGTTGAGGAAAATAGGGGGCGGAGGAGAAGAGAAGAGGACAATTATGCGAAGTGTGGAACAGCTTGATTGGGAGGCCGACGAAGATGGAAGGTGCTGGACGATGGCAGCTGTGAGAAGTTGACTGATTGAGGAAGCTACGTTGGAGTCCACTTTCTGCCACGTACTGATTAATGAGCAGTGAGAATTAGTCGTTTACGATTCTGGGAAAGAAATTAAGGGAAGTGCTTTCCAGTTTGTATGTTTGTGGCCACACTACCTTCCAATTGCGACTGTCGGCGTTCTCACATTCCGCCACTTGTTCCCTTCTCTGATCTGATTTATCTATTTACAAAATCTCTTCTCAATGATCATCAATGCAATGGCTCCTCCTATGCTTTTTTTATTTGTATAACCGTCTTATTTGCGTCTCTGTGGTGAATTTTGGAGCCAAGCATGCATTCTCAATATCTCAACACCCCAAATTAATCTATCATGTCACATGCATTTAAGCACCTGAATACAATATGGACCCCCCCTGCCATTTTCATTAAGAAACATTGAGGAAAAACATCCCCTGTTAAAGATTTTATTGATAAAAAGGATCGACTTTTCTGATACTATTTATAAGTCATTTTCAATATGTTTCCTATAGATCAAGAAAAACCTTGAATTTCATTAATTTTTTTTAAAAAATTCAATAACTTTTCAACTGTGTCTCTATTCAATTAATAGACATTATACCTCATAAAAACAAAGTCAATACAATAATAAATAAAGAATAAATTTGTACATTCATATAAATAATTTATCTCTTTGCCTTATAAATAAATAAAAAAAGCTTCTCTCGCTAACCTATAAAATAAGACCAAAGGAGTACAGTAGAATGCTGGTACACCCTATATATATGTACAAAATTTACATAATATTAATACTTTTTGTATATACAAATTTATTATATATCCTTTTAATTGGTTCTAACTCATAAACAACAGAATTTATATTTTATAGAATCCCATCACAACTTTTGCAAACGATTTGTCAATAACTAAAGATTTTGAATTTCAACAAGGATAACCATAAGAAAAAGCTTCAAGTGCAAAAGCATATATTGGCCAGTCATGAGTTCATAATTTTCCAACGACCCCCTTGTCGGCATGATTGCACTGCGTTGAGCAGTCATTTACTATCGAGCCAAGAACAAGCAATCATTTTATTAACCCCGCCCATGTGATGTAACTTCATAATAAATTATGAATTAGTATTAAGGATGACAAAACTTACTAGCCACCAATAATATACAAAGTATTAATTGGGGGTTTTTAATAACGCAGTTCGACTTCGTTGTCAATGTTAATTAGCTACTGTGCTCTGGTCCTAGGATCCACATGGTTTTACCGAGAGGGCAGCTTCCTGCACAATATAACACATTATGGGATAAAGTAGAATTGTGTATCTGGGATACAGGAGCAAGAAAATTGTGTGTTGTGGGTTTGTCCTCGCACAAAACACAACCCATGTCATTATTTTGATATTACGTGTGTACAGTCGAATTCTTAATCAATCAACCTCAATCTCTGCAACAGAAAGCTATGTGGGATTCATACTGTCTTCTATTTTTATTTTTGTGACACATCTATTGCGGTTCATTGATTCATCGGCATGGATAGGCTTCTATATTATTATGATGTTGATGGGCTGTCAGGCCCATTTTTCCCCGCCAGCTGGCTTTAACTTCCTTCATCCCCACTTTCCTACACGCTTGTCCGGTTCAAAGGAGGGAGTATATCATGCCACGTCTCGAGCCCCCAACCTCTTAAAACATTCATAAAAATTGCTTCAGAAAGCCATGCGGGAAACTGGCTTTTCTTGCACGTTTGTTTGTTCCCCCGAGCACCCGAAAGGTTCGCTTTTGATCAGATAGAAAATTCAAGGAAAGATTACAATCAAATCCCACTCAAGGGAATTAAATAAAAAAAAAATCTCTTAAAATTATAAAATTATTCTGAAATCTCAAAAGACCTTTTTGTAATAAATTTTATTTGTTTAGTTACCAAATTATCCTTCTTCTTCTTTTTTTTTTAAGTTTACATTGACAACTAGAAGAATAGTGGTTGACAATTTAGGGTGCAAGGATTGACAACTATTACAGCAGGTTTGACAACTCGTGTTATATTTTGTGATGTACTAGTTGTCAAACCAGCCGTGATAATTGTCAATCCTTACATCCTAACTTGTCAACCACTACTCTTTTAATTATCAATACAAACAAAAAATAATAATTTAGTAATTAAACAAATAAAATTTATTGTAAAAAAATCCCTTAGAACTTCATAATAATTTCAAGATTTCAAGAGATATTTTTATATTTAATTCCCTTGAGGGAAACCTAACTACAATTCTCCCAAAATTGAATGTCCACCATCCATATATAATGTGCCACTTCATTTTAATTCAGTGGGTGCAGAGAAAGGAAGGATACTTTGTCTAAGATTAATTTTCAAGACAATCAGAGTTGTTGAGAAAAAAAACATTTAACCCTAATAATTTTAATATTAAAGAATAAAAAATACACTTTTCAAAGTTAAGCTACCATATTAAAACCTACATAAAATTAAAAAACTAAATGTAGATTTTAGGAGGGAAAAAAATGCCTGCCCAGGTCACATGTAGACAACCTCCCCCCGCCCCACAAAAACCAAACCCCACCCCACCCCACCCAACCCAACGCAAAACAGATGCCAGACCATTAAGGTAAACTCAATTAATATACAATGCTATTCGATTCACAGCGGTTTAATTTACACGCATGATTCATCTCCAATCTAAATACGAAAAAAATTAACTAGAGTTCTCTATAGCTCATTTCTTGCTGATGTCATCTGGTCCTAATTCTTGAAAAATTAGGGTCAATACAGTAAAGCCCAGACTCATTGCATGAGAATTAACGAGAGATGACATCCGTTGAAGCATACTTGTGCCCCCGTTAGTATGATCTCTTCTCACATTTAGAAGCCCTTTACCGCATGCTGATAGAAAACCAGGCACTGGGAGCATTGGTGATAGAGAGGTATTTGTATTCGGAATCCACGACTTAAAATTTCTGGGCAGCCTATTCATCAAGAATAGCACGTCCAAGATTTGTTGCTAGAGCAAGCCTCACACAACTTAGTGCCTCAGGTGGTAAGCTGGACTCCTTAAAGTCTGGACGTAGCCTTGCCAAAGATAACTCTTGCAGTTTATTTAACAGAAGATTGGTGTCAGACACATTCAGCAGAGGACAATCCTGCCAATTAAGCAGCTTCAACTGCACCCAGTAGAAAGCAAATAGGGTAATCATAAACAACCGTCCACATCAAATATGTAAAAATATGAAAACCAGATACTTCTTAAAGAGGGGGAAAAAGGGCTTCAAGAGAACTAAAAATGACACACAAGGCAACATTGAAAGAGCCAGATTCAACAATACATGGTTCCGCCCAGCAAATTATAGCTGGACAAATATTCTTTTTCAGGGTCAAAAGGACAGAATGCATCCTGACATTTTCAACTGCTAAGAACTTGTGAGCTCATCCAAAGTAAAGGAATCAAGAGAGATTGGGGTGAGATGAATGATGAATCCACAACATAGCAGATATGCCACGGCGTTAGGCACGATAATTCATTCAAATAATGTCTGATGTAACATCATTTATCCACCCCGATGGCAACCAAAATGAAAATATCAATCAGCAGCCAATCAGGAAATCAGAAAGAATTTTGTAGAACGAACTGCAGGCTAAAAACTACAGCAATGGACCATTGCAAACCATTAAAGTATCAAAGGACGTTCTAAATAAACCTGGACTTATGCATATAAAGCAGAGCTACTCATCTATTATAACATGAAAATAGTAGGAAAAAGCTCTGTGGATACAAAACAGCAACAGACACCTTCAAAAAGGGGGGAAAAGATGTCACCGGTTCCCCAGCAACTCCTCCGAATTCAAGAGGCTAGAATCTATTTCACAGATCGCTCACTGATGATAGCTTGCCTGTTCGGACCCCAAACCCACATTTCTATTCCTCACACTCTCTAATTCTCAAATCTCAAAAAAGTCATCCTTGGCCCATCAGTAATGGCTCAGTATACTTCACATGACATGGATAACTGATTAGATTAACTGGGTGGCTAAAGTTTCAGAAGTTAATTTCCCCGGTTGCAGTATTTTGCATCCTCCGCTTTTCATTGACTCCAAATCAATGTGACAATTAAAGAAAAGACAGAATTTTACAAGATCCAACCAACATGTTGGCATATATTGTGCTAAACTAGAGAAAAAAGGCTCACCGAATCATATAGAAGGGGAAGCCAAAAGCGTTGAGGGGTCGATGGATTCTTCATTAGCTGCAAAATAGAAAGGATTGTATGTCATTTCATAATGGCAACCTGAAAATCCCAAACTAATAAGAGTCTCCGATACAATATAACATGGAAAAGAAGTTCCATGTTTTTAGTGCATTCTTATTGTCAGACAGATTGCTAGAGTGTATTATATGCAGCATAAAAATTATCCACATAAAGTCTAACTAATAAGCAGCACTCTCATTCATAAGACTGCAACTAATAACAAAATATGTGCATATAGTAGCTAATACCAGTATGAGGGACTCAGCAGCTTGCCTAGCAGCTTCAGTTGATTTTCCACCGGTTACCTGCTGAAGAAATCTTTTAAAGTCCCTGTACCTGTAATGCACCAAATATATGAACTAAGATACACAGAGAAATGACCGGGGGGGGGGGGGGGACAGGATGGCAGTGATTACTGCTCGAGAAATGTTAGATGAGAAAAATATATACTTGCGCAAGAATTCAAGACCTCCTGCACTCTTAGAATCAGAACCCAATAATTCAATTACACCTTCCCATTGCTGTCAAAATGAAAGATAAAGATAGATAAGAAATCTAAATAACCTACAACTGAATTAGATATTTATTGTAAAATTTACCCAATGAAGGATAGAGTACAGATAACCTAACAATATATTGTAAAAATTACCCTGAAGCTTTCATCAGAAATTGACTTCCCAACTGAATCAAATAATTGTTGGGCAATCCTATGGAGGCGATTTGCATCCTGGGCTTGTTGAAGCCAATATACTCCAGCACCTTTCTTGCCATGCTTCCAATGATAAACTCCGGCAACCTAAATATTAATATGGTCGATTCAGCTGAAGTCAACTAAAAACAACCGTGAGAATTCCCTCAAATCCCACAAGTGTTGTTTATAGTATAAGAAAGAACAATTAATATCATTAAGAGTGTATTACCTTCATGATATTTGAACTAATATGGTTTAGCCCATACAAACGGCATAACTCAATATTCTGCACAATTACAATAATTATCTATCACTCACAAGTATATTAAACATGAAATACTAAAATTCTCATAAAGTCTTGTGAAGCAGAAGTAGATTATATAAAGATGAAAGTAGGAAACAATGACCTTAAGCAGCAATTCATTATGTCGAACAGATTGTCTGTGTAATAAAATCTCCAGCAAGCCCATTCCTTGCTTCATGCATGATGTTAAATATATTGGTGCTATCTGCAATTATACCAAAGTAAGCCCAAGACCACGTGAACAGCATCACATTAGAGTGGAGTAGATTTAATTGTGCCTTAGTTGCAGACTTCATTTTGCTGACGCAGATGGGATCTCTATAGGATTACAACAACCTATACATGATACTTCAATTTGGTTCTTGTTCTCTCAAACTCACGTAAAAAAATTAAATGCAAGTATCAGCCATGTGCCAAAAAAACAGAACATGAAGACAATAATTGAACATCCTCCAATATAATCTATGTTGAGATCCAGAATATTATATTTATTCTCAAGAAACAAGAACTCACTTGCCAAGTCAAAGAATGTGAAGATAAAACTTGAGCATATATTAGTCGATGCAGTTCCCCTATGCTGATTCCCCCCAAGTTATAACGCTCTTCATGTAGAAGGATCTCTGCTTGTTCACTCCCAGCGCTCAACAATTCTACAGCATGTGCAACCATCCTATTGAGACATGATAAATATAAAACCATATTTTCATCAAACTGAGCTAAATTAAAAGGAAAAAAAGGCATCCAACGCATAATCAAATAGAAATAGAAAAAACTTAGAAGCTCACCAAGGGCCATATTCTTTGGAACATTCTGCTAAAACAACCTGAACGATTTCAAAAAGCCCATTGAAACTCAAACAAGGTGAAAGTGAACAATAAACTGAACAGGAAATAATGGAACAAAAAAAAAAAAAAAAAAGAAGGCGGAACTTGACCCAAATGTCTAAGAAAATAATGAATTACACATTTCTCACCTCAGTGTTTTCTTCAAGAATTCCAATCAGAAGTGCTGTCAACCTGTGAGTGTTGGATGCTGGTTTCCATTGGATGCATTTCAATGCTAAGCTATACATGCTTTCTATACCCTGGTTGCAAACGGGACAAACAAATTATGCAGAACTCCATCTGATGGAAAGATACAAGAGGATAACACACACACACATTCATGTGCGTGGATGTGCTAGGAGTGCACAACCATTAAAATTGAATAATTACACAAGTAGATCAACCTTACCACCGTAAATGGTCTGATGTAAAGAAAATGGGAAACATACAATTCTATCCAATGACATGTAGCCATACGGATAGTATCAATGTTACCCAGCATAATTTGAAGCATTCCTTTCAGGCCCTCACGAGTTTGATTATTATCACACTGAATCCAGAATGCACTACAATCAAGCTTTGTAATTTGTGATCTCCATTTCTCCCAAGCCTATAATACAAAATACAAAACATCACTTGTACCTTGATAAATGTAATGTCATAGCAAGTCATGGAAACTATACAAAACAGAATATACCTTGCTAAATTCAGGCTTGGATTTAAAGCATTCACCTAATTTTCCAACAGCAGATTCAGGACGCAAACGAGGCATTTTGGAGATAAGAACAGCAACTGCCTCTACTAGTCCATTCTCTACCTGTTGCATCATAAGATAATACAGATGTGACAAAGTAGAAGTTGAATTTTAGAAAATAGCCTTGAAGCAGTAGCATCACTAGCTTCAGGCTCTAATATTACCAAGGTTCAGACAGCAAACTCCGAGAATCTGCTAAAGGATATTAGCAGCAGTGCAAAATAATTAATTCACAAAGAAGAACTGATATGACATGAATCTCTAGCATGTGATCCATAATGAATAGGTTTCCACACAGAAAACCAATTTTGAACTGTAAAATTGCAAAAACCATACTTTCCGAATCATCTTTTCATTTCATATAATGCTCTCAAACATTTAATCCCAACCTCACGGTTGCTGAGCTGATCTAGTTGGTAAGATCCATGCAAACGCAGCATTTTAACCTACAAATTGAAACCAAGTTGACATAAAATTCTTAATTCGCTAGCTTAAATACAAATGTCACCGTAATATGGCAGCAATGTAGTAGCTTCTACTAACCACAGTATCAAGCCAACCAACTGCAAGTGCAGATGACAACACTTCCCAATATCTAGGATCATCTTCAATCGCCTGCACACACAATCTCATAATTTTCTTCACCAATCGATCTTCGATAAAATTAGTCAATGAAAATAACTTTGTGCCCAGATCAAGCAAAAACAAAACGAAGAGCAAATACTCAAGTTTGAAATAATCACACTGCGTGAAATGCATAGTCAAGATTAAAAACTTTTCCCCTGACATGTACAAGATGCACAAGGAAACTTATGAAATAAATAGGATAACATATCATACATTGGATGGGTGTGATTTAAATTCACTGTACCCTAATCTATATAGCCCACATATGATTGGACGAGAGCCTAGATGATGAAATAATACAATACCTGAATCATACTACCTTTCAAGGCAAAAAAAAAAAAAAAATCATATCATTTAATAATCCGGTGAATTTTTGGCCTTAGTTAAGCTGATGCTTATAGCAATTCTTTAGTTTGCCTCCATAAGTAATGTCCAATTGTCCATCATATTCAAAGTTAAAATTTTTAAAAATTAATAATTTGTTTACAGCTGTAATCAAGAAGATTAATATCAAATAAAGAGCTATATATATCATACCTAGCAAATGCATTTAAAATAAGAACTAGCTGCCGAAGAAAAAGATAATAGAACCAAGGTTCTCGTAGCTTATAAAATGTCTAGGCAGCTAAGAAATGGAACTTGAAGAACCTCAAGATTACAAGCACTATATCTTTTCGGTAGCAAGCATTTGAGACAAAACTAAATAAACGATGCCACCACAACTATCACAACACATACATATCATAATTGTAGTTTTGTTTCATCTCAAAATGACTGAGAAAGGAAGATGCAGATATTATGGGACCTGAATGTTAACAAGATCCTTTTGGAAATCAACAAGCTTGGAATGGATTGTTGCTTGAGTTCGAGAAAAGAGGGTGTCATAATCCTGCCATAAAATGCAATGATTAACTTAAATAGCATATTTGACCGGCTTTAAGAAATTGATTAAGAAAGTGAATTCAGAACATCAACCAAGAGTATCAAAGAGATCATTACAGCTAACCAATCAACAAGTCTTTCAGGTAGCCATGCTTGAGATTGCTTATCTGCATAAAACATTTCCATCATCTCCCATGCTGCTTTCAGGCATGTTGGCTCCTCACCTTTCTACAAGTATTTGGATATTTAGAAAAAGTAACTAGCTTCGTACTAAAATAGTTCCACAAATCTGACCTCTGCACAGCTTTAGGCAACAAGGAAACTAAGTACCTTAAAGATTGCTTTTGGTTCTTCAATTATTGGAGTGGGAGGCAACTTTCGCCCACCCAGAAGTGAGCTAATGTCCTTACTATACTCTATTACATACTCCCACCTGGTTGTAAGACAAAGTAACATATTGTTCATCAGCATAAATCTTTGAGGAAAATGTAAAGGTTAGAATAACTATAAATTAATGATTTACTTAAGAAAGATCACTTTCCTCTAAGTGATCCAACGATAAAGACTCAAGCTAATTTCCCAAACATTTTACCCCAATAAAGACATTTCATATTGGCCATCTAAGCACCCAAAGACGCATCATCATTAGCAAGTTTATAAAGTGTCTATAACTTTGCCTAATGAAGGGACCAATTAGGAGGGGGAATATTTAGATTTGGTTTGATCTTTAGAGGACCAGATGAAAGTAAAGTGATCTTTCGAGAACAGAAGCATTAATTTATTTACTCAAATATTTATTCAACTGCAGTGAAGATTAATCAGAACAACTAGAGATTAAATCAGCATTATCCAATGGCAAGAGATGTTGTGTGTTAGAAGCATTTCTTGCAATATAGCGAAGTCGACCTCAGGTCTTTTACATTAATTGATTTTGATAATTGAACTAGAACGGCAGAATCACAAGCTTTTGGCCCTGTTATACAATACAGTGGCCTAGAATATCACAGAAAAGCTTCCAGAATGAACGTTGAAATATCCCAAGTAAATGTAACAGGCTCCAGGGCTCAGCCAAGAAAAGGTCACAGCCTTAATTTCAATTTTTCATAAATAGCAGCTATATCTTACTAAGATGCCATCGAAACCCTTACCAATCTAGATGATATGGCGATGGACTCTTGGAAACCTTCGACGAACTGGAAAAGGAGCTCCTACGACTCTGAAGCATTGCAAATGGTAAGACCGACCCGTACTCAATCCTCCGCCATTGCGCGTCAGTAATTTCCTGGTCTCCTCCATTACTAAGCTTAACCTCCATTACCTTGCCTCCCGCTTGATCTTCGGAAGGAGGCCTGAAAACGGAGACACGGAGAGAATTGCCTCGAGACCAGGAGATGGCGAGGCGAGCTATTGGAGGGTTAAGACCATGGTGCAGCGGATAAACCGCTACTGAACCTCCGTTTTCAGAGGGCACGGGAACCAAAGCTCCATCTCCCCCGGGCATTGCGAAGGCAGACGACGGTAAGGGTTTTGGAAGGGTTTGTGAATAGACCGCACCAAAAAAACAAAATGGCGCTGTGTAAGAAACACGGCCACAAAAGGGGAGGTGTGTTGTGGGGAAAGGCCCAACGTCTATCGCTGAGTTGCCGCCTAGTGCGAAAGCGGGGCACCGTGGTAAGTTCCTCGCGAATCTACCCCGTTCACAGGATTTGATCAAGGTTAGTTTTATCAAAAAAAATTATCACATGTAAACAACGTAATTAGTTTTTTTGAAATTAATAAATTAAGAAATAATGATTTTGATATAAATATTGTAATAAAAGAATAAAACAGTCTAAATTTAGATATAAGAGTATATTTGTCAATTTATAATTATCTTTCCTCCACTCTTCTTATCAACCAAATAAAAAATCTTCTCTTCCCTCTAACCAAATAAAACCCATGATCTCCATTTCTTTCCTCTTTTCTTCTTTTAATTAACCTCTCCTCCCCTCTTTTTCAGTTGAGCCAAACAAAGTCTAAACGACGCCATCTCAAAACACGCCTTTTAACTCTTCTCTTGAGGGGGAAAAAACTTCATAAATAATTAGATTATTTTTAATAATTAAATTATGTTAAAATATGTAATAAAAAATTAGTTAAGAAAATAAATAAAAGGTTACAGAGATTTCTATAGAACAGGAAATAAAAATTTGAACCTAAATAATTATAAAAATTTGAAACAAGTTGCATTATTAATTCATTTGAATTGAATTATTTTTTATTGTCTGATCATATCAAAGATTTGGTCAATGATATAGTTTAATAACATCGTTTAGTAAGATCCAACTTATGGGACAAGGCCGTTAGCTATGATGTCAACGGCAAAGATTTGTGCCAGCAAATGCATTGCACCGCTTTGGCCAACAGGGGATCTCTCTTTCTTCCCCCACCAGCTGCCAAGGGTCTGCATTCTGTTTCCATGTCCGCAGTAATATTTCTTTTTCCTTTTGAAAATACTCCATCCTTAAATCGAACAGACCAAAGAAAGATCTCGTATGGCATATTTCTTTTCATCATCAACCACTGATAATAAAAGAGTGAATGATCAAAAGTAGAAACGCTTTTCCCATTTTTATGAGCAAATTAGACTTAACTAGAGAATGAACACAACAATTTGCTTCCTTGATTATAAAGCACAAATTATTATTATTATTTTTTTGTAAGATGCAACGAAACATTTTGTGTATGTATGTCGAAATTTTAATTTACCGGGAAGAGAGAATGTATAAATTAAAGAAAGATTATTTGTGATACAGTCAATGGTCATGAAGGTGTCTGCAGAGAAGTTCCCCCGTTCTCGAGATTAGCTCACTGAGGAAAATACACTTCTATGTGCACGCAACAGATTTATTACATTTGTCTGCAATATCTGATTGAGAAGGGGATGCATGTTATTCCTGTACATACATACATACACTAAATTTCTGGCTTTGAAGATCTCAGGCATTATATTACTTTAAAATCTTCCACTCCCTTATCGTCTTCAATTCTATCTTCAACACCAGCAAGCACTTCTCCTAACATTCACAGCCTTACTTACCATGATCATTGATCAGATTCTTCTAATGAAGAAGTTACTCCCTTTAATTCAGCTGCAATACCATATTGCACGCATGATTATTTATGTTCCTTTCAGATGATGGAGTTCAGAACCCAACAGTTGTTCTGGTGGCTTTTGATCAGCATCACCTGTCGTCAGAAACTTGCTACTTTCATTCTATATCAGTAGGCATATATTTTAGTGTTTTGATCCAACCATCTGCCTTATATGCAGTTTGAATCCTAAATGCACACAAAGCAGCTAATCAACGTTATTTGGCAGTGAAAATGTAGATTCTAGAAAACCCCCCAGCTAGGCTCCGGCCATGTCTTCCTCGATAACATAGGCGGAGAGATTGAGATACTTAGCCTGCTCCGTCATGTCCCTCCACTTGGCTCTGCACATCACGCATCTCACCCGTCTCTTCCCCCTGCTTCTCTTCCACATGTCAAAGCACTCTTCATGCATAGGATTCTCGCATGTCCCACAAGCCACCAACCTCTCTTCCTTCCCCATTTCCTCTAAACACACAGGACATGTTGACCCTTCCTCTATTTCTATCATCTGATTCAAAGCCCCTCCCTGCGGGCTTCTTCCATTGGAGAACAGCTGGTGGAACCTTTGGCGGAGGCTGGCCGCTGCTAGTGCTTCCTGCAGGGTGGGGCTGCTCAGAAGGCGGTGGAGTTGGCATGGGCGGAGGGTCCTCCGCCGCAGGCACACATCGTCAAGAGATACACCCAGAACCCGAATTAAGACGAATAAAATGTGCTTGCAGGGGGTCGTGGAGTCAGGGCACGAGCAGGAGGGTGAGGAGGATAAGTTGACAGAGTAGACATTCCCGGTGGTACCCAATATGAAGAAGTTGGAATCGGAACGGTGGAGAAGGCAGAGGGGGTGGCGGAGGGCTCGGAGTATCCGGTCAGAGATGGGGTGGTTCGGATCGAAGCGAGGGTGGTGGAGGTGGATTTCCGGCGAGGGAGAGTTGGAGGCAACGGACTCCATTGGAGGGAAAAGGTCGTTAATGACGGTTACTTGATTAGGTAATTGAAAAGGAGATGAAATACGGATGAAAAGAATATAATTGTGGCAAGTTATGGAGGGGGGAATAAATGTAGTTGGGATTCTTTGAGTGGTTTAGAGGGACACGTGAGGGATAGATGGAAGGCGAGGAAGTGTCGTGAGGCCGAGAATTTCTGTACCTTTTAACTTGTTAACCATACTTGGGTGTAAAATGGTGGTGCACCGCACGCTATATAAGTTACAAGAGTAACTTCTAAAACAACAAAGTCCTAACTTTTACACCACCCCAGCAATCTATAATGCGGTTGGATATGTGAAAAAACTGAGATTTTTTTTATGTGTCATCAGAGGTAGCTCGCTCTTGCTCCCAAACTTGGCTAATAGTTGCAAACCGGTGGCTCTATAATAATCTCATCAACGAACTAATACAAGGGAACCGCATTTATTAGACTTGGCATAGAAAATACGATGGATTTTACGTATAAGCCTATATAAGGCCTCTTGGTAACATTTCTAGTGTGTGGTTTATGTTCTAAAGCCTTGCCATCAGTTATTTGTTTTTTCAGGTCACTCTTGGAAACTTATATATATGGTTGCTTTGTCCATACGGCTAAGTTAAAATATTTCACGTTTAAGCGACTTAGTGTATATTCAAGTGATTCAGTATGTAGGCAAGAAATATTCAATATGTTCCAATATGAATTATGTTGGATGTCACTGAGACTCTCATACATTGGGGATACAGAATTGACATTTATAATGACTGGGTTGATTCATAAATCCAATAGCTGATGTGCGTGGGCAATATGATGTTCATCATAGCATTGTATAATTAACCAAATGATTTGAAAAAACTAATTTCAGTACTCATCACAGTAATAAACACCATGGTACTTATCGAATTTCACCCATTCAAATCTAATATAGTTGGCTTACATTTAATATTAATATTTTTGTTTTTTAAATATTTTTTAATTGGCACACAATCCAAAATAAATATAATATCTTGATTGTAAATTTTTTTAAAAAATAATGTTTTATTTAAAAATCATTGGTTGAACATTTTAAATGTAGACCATTAAATTATATCTCAATAGTTTAGATGTCACTGAGGCGATCACTGGTGATAGCAACGAAACTGGCTGCCCTCAGAAATTTTACAGGGATGAATTCTACCTCAGTCGTCAGTGATGATTCATATGACAGCTAAAATGTAGTTAGTTAAGCTCATATGTTTTTCCTCCGCATGGTAAATCGTTCATTATTACTGGAAGACTTCGAGGATGATGGAAGGTCACGTCATTATCTCCACCTACTAGATAGTATGGTATTTGTGTGGTCTCTAATTTCCAATCAAACCTGTGTACTCTATATTGTATGACAATTTAAATTTCAAATATTTGAAAACCCTGCAAAGTTTGACAGAAACTAATTGTATAGAAAATTAAAAAATAGATATATCAACGAATAATCACGTTTAATTTTATGTAATATTTGTTGATTAGAATTTACCTATGCAGTATTGTACGAGTATTCTTTTCTTGGGCAAAAATGGGACTCCAATCACGAAGAAAAATAAATTTATGGTAGCTCCTATTTTAGTGCGTAGGTACGCATGCGCCTATATTAGACTTTTAGAGTATATGGCTTGGGAATCACTGTTAATTACTGTCACTTTTGAAATCCATTCACAGACAGGCCTTGATTTTGCGTGACGATTGATTCATTGATCCTTTTTTCGGCATCCTCGCTAGCAGGCTTAGCTTGCTCTTCTACATCTTCTTTCCTCCCAATCCAAGAAGGTACTCATTAATTAGAACTTTATAGGTATCGGAAGATGCAACATATTCCAAATGATGGAGCTAGCTAGCTATATATATAAGCAATACTTGCTTGCACCTTAATTAGCTTCTTTATTTTGCGAAGACATGCCATTAATTATAAGTGATTCAACCCAGGAAAAAACGTGTTTATATCCAAAATTGGTTTATGCTCAGAATTATTGTTTGATGGAGAAAGTTCTAGTTTTATTTATACATCGATAAAGCAAGTCAGCTGATGCTCTTCGTTTTCAATTTTCTTACAAAACAAAAGGGTATAAAACTTTGTTAATGAAGGGGGAAAGAAGGGAAGCATGATTGAAGTCTACTTGTTTCAGTCCGTAAAAAGCTCGTACAACTGCCAACTAGTTAGTTTACAGTTCTGGATCCTTGAGGCATGTTTATGTGTTTTATTTGTACCTTTAATCATATACATCTAGTCAATGATTTCCATCTGTGCTGGTTACGATGACCGAAGAGGTTTTACTGACATCAGTATCAATCCAGAGATAATGGATGGCAATTATACGTCACCCACGCGACCGGTGAGGGAATCCTCATGGGCAGACAAGATTTTAATTTACTGACAACAGACGGGAGAAGCAGAAGACTGACGGAATACAGTCGTCACTCTATTCTCTAGATCGCTTTTCTGATTACTTGTTTTAAGTTTGTCCATGCATGTAGCTGTTATATACTCTTTTAATTTTAAACATAAGATTTATTTTATAATATAAATTACATTATAAAACAAGTCTTACGTTTAAGACTCGAGGAATATACATGTGTGTGGTTGCTGTTGTGTGGCTGAGAGTTGGTATGGGCTTTAGCTATATGATTTGGTTCGATTTGAGCACAAGCACCATGGCTTAAAGGTATATAGGAGTGCGCCGATGCAGGCAAAGTTGGAGAGATAGGAGGTGTTTGATTGTGCGTTGCTTGGGAGAGAACGCCACGAAACTCAATGGATATGGCAAAGCGGGGGAACAGGACTTATCATCTCATCATGGAAAACACAGAAATCCCACAAGCAGCGGATCCCTTACGGATTCGTTGCGAGTGCGTGAACGGGACACAGCGGATCTCATATCGCCCCAATAATTGGATAACATGTCGAGGGTGGAATTGCTGTATACTGTAATGTGACCAGTGCATGAAAACAAAGGATTTCCTGTTGAGACTATATATATGGGCTCCTACTCGCATCGGTCGACGAGATATGACCACTATGGATGCATCAGAATCTAACTTTGTCTTTCTTACATACAGCTGCACGGCACACAACCACGCTCTCCCACTTTCATTTACTCAGCACGATCACTTTTTAATTAATTACAAGCATCAACTAATGCCATATGCATATGAAGTTACAGGTTGAAGGTACTAATTATAGGCACACGGCCATCTATGTTGTCCAGTTGAAACCTGGAAGGATGCCGTCAATCGTAGCTCAAAGATCGCTACCATTACTCAAAAAGGTTTACCGGAGTGTGGCGAGAGAGGGAGGAGCTAGCATGTGTGCGTGGGATGTGGCCAGGTAGGAGAGGGCGGTGGGAATGGAAGCGTCGTCACGTGACCACCGCTATGATAGGGCTTATTAGCCAGGCTTCTCTCTCACTCCAATAATTCCGCCATTAACTAACTACTAACCAGCAATTCATATTATACTCAACCAAACTAAACGCCTGGTTCATTAATCCCCGTCCCTCCTCCTCCTTTGCCTCCCCTTTCCCCTTTATTCTCTGCATCCCCCATCATGCATCCTTCTGAAACCAAAGCAATTGCACTAAACAATAATGAGACACCAGATTCGGTTTTTAAATTTTAGTCCATATATTATTATTGCCATCACCATGTGCTCCTATGGATCTGAGCTGCCTGGGTTCGTACATACTGCACCCTTCCCTATATATAATACAATCTTCGCCTTCATTTGGACTTTATCTCTCCTCTATTCACCAGCTCCGCTAATTAACAAATCTTCAATCACGTGCCTCCAGCCTCCTCATAATCACGTACCCACTCCTGTCTCACTATTATTTTCAATTTTCTTTCCTCTTCCACTTTTTCAAAAGATCTCCCGCCCCTCCAAAAAAAATCAATTAAAAATAAAACCCTTATCCTCGTCCGTCCACATGCATCTCACTTAAAACTGAGCAAGCGTGAATTTTTTTCTTCCTTCATGAGCTCTTGTTGATCCTGATTCGTTGAATAAACGAAACTACTCTATATGCTCCAAGCCATGTGGGATGGGTAACATGAAGCGAATAATAAGTAAATTTGTAGCGCCGGAGATGGAAAAGTGAAATAAGAGAAGGACCGACTTTGCGTGAGTGACGAATTCCGAGTAGGAACTGAAAAAGAGGAGATTAAGAGGAGGGTACGTATACTAATCGAAATGTGTGTGTGTAGAATATGGAAGCATATGCCGCTGTTGTGCATTCTTTCCAGCATTCCCCGTAACTTTGTTTCCTATTGGCCCACTAATCAGTAATCACCAATCGCTGAAATCCATGTGCTTTTGATTTATTTATTTTGTTTCAATTTTGGGATTAATGCCCACTCCCCCTTTTTAGTTTTTATACCACCAATATATTCATGGAAGCCGCAATTAATTAATGCCTCCCTGCCCCTGCTGCCTTCTCTGTACTATTTTCTATTCCTTTCTTTATCACACCCACTGTTTTCTACTCCTCGCTGCACTACTGACTTATGCTACGTCACCGCCATCTTCTGAGTTTCTCCAAACACAGATCTTACAAGTCCGCGCATCTTGATCCCATTTTGCATTCATATGTCTTGTATTCATATAAAAAGAGATACTCCTCCGATCCTTATTATAAGACTCAATTTGACTTTTTATTTAGTCTTAATTATAAGCCACAATCCATTTTTCTCTTATATTTATGCATTTTTTTTTCAAGATAATCCTTTTAATAATGATAGTTTTAGCCAATATACTTAATTAGCAAGGATATTTTAGGAATGACAACACTTATTTATTATAAATAACCAACTTAACTTACTTCCTTAATCTCCTCAAATAAATCAATTGGGTCTTATAATTAGGACCGGAGGAGTAGAATACGAACGCGCGTTTTCTGCTTTCCTGAATATCAATAATAAACAACCAATATGTCTTAAAAAAATGAAGGGTTGACCTTGCGGATAGAGAGAAATGTCGTACGTGTTATTCTTACCGATAACTCAGCTTTCATGAACTGCTATAATTAATATTATGAGCATCCATTTATATTACTGTTTGACTTAGATTTTTTACCACGCGCACTTGGTGACAAGATAAGAACGCCAGGACGAGTGACGCTAACATTTACCTAAAACAGAAAGCCCGTCCTGATTGACTCTAGAATGTGGCTGTAAAATGTAAATACTACCTATCAACGGGGATTGGTTCAAGTAATAAGCGGTTTGGTACTGTTTAAGTGAGGTATCGAGTTCGAGCTTCAGCGTATGTAAAAATCTCTGTTGAGAGACTCACCCACCACAGCCAGGTAAATGCTACCTATGTTCAGATTGTTTAAAGAAGTATGCCAACATTTAATAGGCTGGAAATAAAAAGGTAGAAAACTACATTTAGGAAAATTTGGAGTTCACGGAGTATGCCCATATTGGCCTAGCTAAACGAGGACATAAAAATTAAGGAAACGAGGTTATGAGTTAATTAGGGAACGGAAAAAACAATCCCTTGCAAAATAAAATGCAAAAGGGGGAAAAATTAAGGAAAAGAGGCTGAACTGAAATAACTGTTGTGATCGATTGCTAGTTCAACCTGAACGTCCATGGTAACATGTCCTACTCTAGCACTTTTTCTAGATGAGCTGCCTGATATCTGGGCCCACGTCTTGGTGGATCAAGTAATCGTCGCCGTTGGACACATCGAACATCATGTTTTGATGTTGGAGAAACCGCTGCTGCTGCTGCTGCTGGGCCCTCATCATCTCCTTCTGTCTTCGGAGCTCTAGCACCTTCCGGTGTGAGTTCGAGTGCTTCGTCAGCACGAACGTCGGGCTCGCCGCCGGCCTGTACTCCGGCACCAACCTCCCCGACTTGTACCTTACCCCACAAGCATTGCACAGCGTCTTCGGGCCCATGGGCCCCGTCCTCCACTGCGGCGTCTTATCCGTCGCGCAATGCAGGCATTTCCGTCCCTCCCCGGACCCTTCGTCGCCGTTCTCCTTTCTCCTTGTCACCGACTTTCCCGGCTGGGTGGGAAGGACGATGTCGGGTTCGGAAGACGATGATGTGGGAGAAAGGGCGAGGAGGCGAGAGGTCCAGTTGCATGGTGGCCCGCGGGATCTCTTGCTGCGAGCCTTCGCCGGAACCGACACTTGGCGGTTGAGCATGACGTTGTTACGGTTTGTTTCCTCGGGGTGCTGCAACTCGCGGCTTTCTGATGCTTCCTCGTTTCGGGCTTTTATGCCCGATATCAGCTCCAGTTTCTGCAGGTCCTCGCTCGAAAATGATTCCTCCCCAATGTTCGAGAGCCATTCCAGCTCTGCCATATCATCGCTCTGTTTTCCACATTCAACCACGGCGTTTTAGTCATTCCCATTCATCAGTTTCATTACTTTTAAATAACATAGAGCCATGTGGTGTAAACCTAGCTATACGCCCAGCGAACACAGAAATTCAAGAACAGAGAAAAGAGAGAAGCACTCAAGAATTTCAAATAATTATTTTGGTGCTGAAGTTGTCGGCAAACCATTCAAGACAAAATACAAGTGAACTGATTGCTAGCTAAATGACAAGCCCTGGGCCTGTAGTTTACGTGGAAAGAAAATAATAAAGATTACACATGTGATTATAACATACCGGGACGCAGAGGTCGCTGGAGAAATATGGGTCGGGCAAATTTCGAGAGGAAATGTGAGGGTTGAAATTGGGGTCGCAGCCGGAGAATGAAGAGGAATTGGAGGTATCGACGGAGTTAATTAGAATGGAAGAATCGGTGGGAAGAGAGTCGAAGGCAGGGTCGGTGATGAGAGCGTCGTCGTCGTGGGGGAAGTCGAGGAGGTCCTCCACGATGAAATGGTCGGTCTTGGCATCGGAGGACGTGAATTGGGAGCAAAAGCCGCCCCGGAAATACTCGGGTGCTTCCATGCCTACACTTTGTTCCGAGACTGCAATAACTTCAACGACCAGAAGGGGTTGCGATGGAGGAGACCAGTAGTGACCAAGTACGGAGGAGACTCAAGAGTAGTAGTGTAACAAAGCTATGGCTTTAGTGGAGAGGGAAAGAGGGAATTGGAGACGAGGCTTCGTTTGCGTTTGAAGGGTACAAGCCAACGCCTAAATTGAAGCATTTCTTTCTTCCTTCCTTTTTTAAAATACACACAAATTAAAAAAGTTTTCGGCCAAACGTATTAAAGTGTATTGAGAACGTGAATTATCAATAAACTCTCGCTTTCAATGGATTCAAAGAAACAAAAGGAAACTGTGGCGGAAGTTACTTTAGTGCCCTTTTTCTTTTCCAGCCGCTTTTTACGCTGCTGGGTTTACTTGTTTTTTATCTGATGGCATCCCCCCCCTCCAAAAAAAAATCGCGCATAAACAACTTTAAAACCTACGGAAATCTTACAGCTTATACATAGAAAGACGAGTTAGAATCATTTTCCAACCTTACGCTGCTTTTGGAATTCTAGAGAGGAAGAAGGGGCCATTCGAAACTATATCTTTCATTACCTAGCTATTACTTATTAAAAGTGCTTGACCTGCTTGAGATAGCTAGCTATATATATAACCTGTAATTGTTTTCTTTATATATGGATGATACAGCCTAAATTATATGCAAGAATCGATCGGTATCCTGATGCTGCAGGGGTTTCTTTAATTTACTTGGGAGGGGGGGATCATCTAGTTTGAACCCGTATAGAAGTGACATACCGATCTTCGATAAGAATGCAGCGCAGCAGTTCCTATAAGGTGTATCCAGGTGTTTTTGACAAAGCTATAAATGGAATCGATAATGAGATATATAGATGCAGTTTTATTTGCAAAATATATACTAATTCCAGTCTTAATTTTAAGACGTAATTTGTAGGGTATAAATAAGATCTTACAATTAAAACACAATGTAGTATATATGATATTTGATGATATGAATAAATCGAGAAATGGAATTGAATTCATGAGTATGCATGGCAAAATGGCGGGCGGTTGAGGGGGCGAAGGTATGACAGGATGTGCACAGCGGAGCAGGTGAAAGATGTAAGTACAAAAAAGTGGGGGCAGTGAAAGACTGAAAGGGTATAAGGGTAAAAAGAGGGGGTTGATATTAATTACACATACATGTAAAGGAACGGCGCTCTGTGTTTGTGAGACTGAGGGAGTGATGGATGGGGGGGGGGGGTGATTGAAGAATGATCGAAACGTTAACGCGCGGCGGTGATGAGAGGGATCGGCATTTACCTCGTTTCAGCCAGTTAAGTAAAACCCCAACCCAGGCAGCGAGTCGGCTGGTGTATTCTTACCCTTAATTATCATTATTATTAATAATAATTATTATTATGACTGCCCTGTACGTGTTCAATTCAACCACCGTCCCATTGTCAACCCCACCCCTTAAAATTCAATTCTACTTCAATCACTTCTCTCTTTTCCATGCACATCCGCTTTCTCCGTTTTTAACATTGTACTCCCATCTTCGCCAAAATAATTAATTCCTCCCGGCTTGACCCGCTGATAAGAGGGGTGCCACCTAATCTCATGCATCTGCTGCGGCTGCTGGGTTTAATGCATGTGAGTGTGGGCGGGAGATGTATCCTAGCGAAAATGCCGGCCATTCTTCCACGTGTCACTCCCTCACAAGTTCCCTCTCACTAAAATGGGGCCTTCCTATCATATCCCCAATCCCTATGCCGTTATTCCATGTGGATAAGATGTTTCTACTGTGCCCATTTATCGCTCCCACCTCTCTCCCTCCAGATGCTCTTCTCCCTGTTTCTTTTTCATTCCTAATCATATCCCATTTTTTTAACGTCATATTCACAATGCAATGCCGTTTTTTTTTGGTCTTTCAAATATTTTAAAAAAATCTTAATTGGGTACTCCTCCGATCCTTATATAAGATCCATTTAACTAATTTGATTAGATTAAGGAAGTTAGGTAAGTTAGTTAATTATAAGAAAAATGACACATTTTTCCTAAAACACCATAATCATTTTTTAATACTCCATCTCCCTCTTCTACTTGATTATGGTTGATGGAGTATCCATAGGGGTAATTTAGAAAAATTAATAAATATGAGAAATGGGTCTTATATTTAGGATCAAAACCAACTCAAGAATTGGGTCCTATATTAAGGACCGGAGGAGTATTATATTAATAAGGTTCTCACTCTTTCAAATAACGACAAATATGGAGAAATGTATATAATTTTAAGACATAAATTAATTAAAAATGTCTTCTGATTTTAAATGAAGGGAGTGATTTATTGCTTGAATAATAAGGAAGGGCTGAAAAAGAATGGGGACCGGGGCGATTGCTTGGCGTGATGGCTTCCATTTCGCAGAACTCGCGGTTAATCTCTCTCTGCCTTTGTTTTTCCCTTCTTTATTTTTAGAGGCGTTTGAGAGATATTTTGGGGCCTGTGGGGGAGGGGGGCCGCTCTCGCACGTGATGGGGGTGGGCTGGTGGGACAGTGTCAGGCGGCATGTGAGTGCGTGGCTGGTGTCGGGGGCCAAGACAGACGGTGGTCAATGACACGTGGCCTCCATCCATGCGCCTTTACCCTTTTCTGGGATGCTCCGCTGGCCATAACGTGACGCCACGTGCCCCTTCCCCCTCACGTGATGCCCTCCGGAGTGGCGACCCATCTAGCAAGCTGGGTATGGTTTTCAATACTTGTATTAATCCCACCCTCGCCTCTGGTAAACAATTCCTTTAACACCCACGCATCTAACGCCACTCCTTTCAATAATTGACAACGCAAGTGAGGGAACTCAATTGCTGATCCATATTAAAATATCATCTCTGATTTTTAATATAACAAGATCTAGTTTGTAATCCAAATATGAAGACATGCGTGATGCTGCTGTGTTTGGTGCTCATATATATAGCGTTGAGGTGATTGTTGTCTTCTCTTGTACGCCGTAGGTTCCTGCACTCAGCTTGCCTAATGTTAAGACCATATGCTGATGAGCATTATTCAAATATAGTATGCACGCAAATATTTGACGTGCAGAGGAAGACAAGATGCATTAGCTGAACCTAGGAACGGATCATGCTGGCCCGTAGCGAACAAATTACGTTTACAATCTTGTTAGAAGGGGGGAGTGTGTGGAGCCCAAAAATGGGGCCTAACAAAGTGGGAATGCGATTAATCGGGTAGACAGGCCTGTAGATGAAGAGGAAGAACGCAGAGGCAGCGCTGGCCAGCCCAGCAAACGGGTCCTTCTCGGCTAAGTCAAGACCACACCTTTTGATTCCTTGAATGTTAATGCATGAAATTCCCCGATTAAAGACATCATTTCTTGCTGTTTACCCGAAAAAAACAAGACAGAGAGGAAAAGGGGTCGTTTCCTGTTCATTCCACAAAGCTCAATTGTTATTATTATTAGAGTAAAATACTATAACCTCTCTTGCATTTTGTCTTAATTACACAGACCTTCTTTCTATTTTGAAAATATATACTTAAATCCAAACTGTTAACTTCGTTAGGAATATTTCAAAAAGATGTTTTTTTAATTCAAATTTATATTGAAATACTCTCTAACCATTCAAAAAAATCTTAGTTTTTAATATTTCACGAGCAACTAAAATTACATAATTCTACAATATAATTGAAATTAAAAAGTTTATAACATAATAAATTTTGAAAATACATGTATTATCATTATTTTTTGTTGTATCAAATTTTTTTTAAAAGATATAAATGTTTAAATAACATTTATGTTAAGGAGGGATATTTTGGTCAAAACATAAATTTAAAAGTCAAACTTAACGGTCAACTAAAGGTTGGATGGATGAAAATTGAATCTTAAAAATATAAAGGAGGTTTGTGTAACATACATTTTAATTTGAAAAGAAGTTTATATACGGTTTTAAAATAGAAAAGAGGTTTCTGTAATTTAAATAAAATAGAGAGATAGTTAATATATTTTACTCTTATTGTTATTTTATAACCATGCAAGCAATGGCTTGCTTCATCTTTTAAAATGACCTGAACTCTGACAACCCATTTCGCCCACCATTGAAATGGCAACGCCTTCACTTGGGCACCAGCCCACAATCAACACAGACTTAACAGGCCCACTGTCCTGATAGGTCGGGCCCAGCGAGTGGTTGGGGGATCCGAAAACGAAATAAGCGCATGGGCGGGGTTGATATGTCCGGGGCGAGCAAGTAGGGAGGCAGCAGTAAAGATGAAGACAGGATGGGGATGGGTGATACGAAAGGATGTTATTTGTCGGGTAACCGGGGAACATGGGAATGTATTGAAATTCGAATAACGACGATGAAAGGCACAGTACATGGGAAGCTGATTAGGTGGGAGGGTAATGGATGAAAAGAGGCGGGAAGTAAAAAAATCAGGGTGAGATGAATAGTGGTAGTAACGTGGGAGAAAAAGAGGAAATGGTAAATTGGGGAGTAAATGAGATGGGGGGGAGAAAGTGGAGGGGGGAAACGAAAAAGGAGAAGACGCCGAAAGATAAGGACGGCAAGCACTGGGTGGGGAGGGGGTCCCCGCATGGGCTTCTGCTTCTCGTGCCTCACATTTCACTGTTCATTTCTTTGTTTTTAATTTGGGAAATGAGGGAATGGGCAGGAGTAAAGGGCACGCCGGGAAGCCCGGCCCCACGCCCCTCTCACGCCTCTGCCCTCCCCTCTAAACCCACACCAATTATTTTAAATTAAAAAAAAAAAAGAAATACAAATGATGGAGCCATGCTATTGCTTGCTAGGTGATATGAGATGGAGAAAAGAGGGTGGCGGTGGGAGGACTCAAAGGGGATGACAGGCGTTGACATATAATTAGGGGGCCGCAGCCGGATGGGGCCATGCCTCCACTTCCGTGGCTTTTTAATTAGGTCAAGCAAAAGCACCATCCTCCTCTCCCCTCTAACTCCAACGTCAAAACCCGCGTTTCCCATTCGGTCTTCTCTTTGGATGCTCTCTCTCTCTCTCTCTCTCTCTCTCAGTGTGTAACAATCAAACCCCCACTTCTACTGGTCTGCCATGCCTCTCCCCTTTCTATCTCTTTTCTTTGCCTTCCTATCCCTTCATCTCCCCCCCCCCTCCTCCCTAACTTGTT